AGGCTCTGTGGGTGAGTCAGGGTGGGTACATCTTCACAACCTGTGACACAGAGGAGCCTCTATGTCCCTACTCCTGAGGGTGGCCTTACGCACCCTCACCGGGCCCATGGGCTTCTGCCCAGGGGTAGCTGCTGAGACTGTTTCTCTACCCTGACATTGGGTGGGAAAAGCTAGAGCCTCTGACTCTCCAGGACCCCAAAACTCCACCTATTCCCATAGAATCTCTGTTGGGTGTATCTTAAACAGAAATGCAGAAGTGGCCACCGTGAGCCTAGGGAGGTCCTCAGCCCTACACAGGCCACAGCCAGCCAATGCCAGCATCATGTGTGATCCTCCTGTCCCTGGCTTGCCCATGCCTATTGTTTGCCCGTGCCTCAGTCACTTCTCCCCTCACAACTGCCTGGGATTCCTGAGGTTCAGGCCTGGCTGTGGCACCTGGACTTCTCCAGGAGGGTCCTCAGCTTCCTACAAATTCTCAGCTGGATCTGCGGCCTGCAGCTGCTGTATGCAACTGCTTAGCACCCTGCAGTACAGCCCACACACCACCCCTACTCTACACTAGCCAGACTGTGCCACCACACACCACCCCTTGCTCCGAGGCTGGTCCAGGGTCCTTTCCCTAACCCCAGCTCTTAATCCTCAGTTTACCCATTTCTTCCAGCTATTTGCAGACCCAGGGCACCTCTGGCACCTGCTGGTGTCCTGGCTTGGCCTTCCTAGTCCTAGATCCTCCCCTAGGCTACTGGCCTCAGAAGCCAGTTAACTGTGCTTCTGGAGTCCTGCTGGGTCTTCCCCTTGTGATGGAAACTGAAGACTCCTGGGGAGATGCAGCCTTGAGCCATTCCAACATACTGATTAGTACCACCGAATCACACAGATGCAGTTCAGGCCCTCCTGCCCTCCTCAAAGTCCCCTCCCCAGCCCCTAGCAGTGAGCATATACTCACTCACTAACCTCCCCTTCCTCCTCCCCTCCCCGCTCACCACACTCACCTGGAGGGCTGAAGGCAGCCCAAGGGGGCCCGAGCCCTGCGTCCAGACCAGCCTTATCTGTTTGCTTTTCAGTCCACATCCGCTGATCACCACAGGAGCCGGACGGGGCGGCCCTCCCTGCTGGCCTGGCTGAGGGTTCCCTTGGACTTGGGCCTGGAAGCTGGGGACGTGCTAACATTCCCCAGGACACTGAATGAAGCCCAACCCTCAGAGACCTGGACTATGGCTAGGATTGGGTTTGAGGAGAGCCTATGCACCCTAGCACCTACCGTGTGCAGGGCCTGGCTGGAGCAGTTCAGGGCTCCCCACCCTCCCGTGGGGCTCAGAGGTGCCACATAGGGCCATCAGCAATCCCTTCTGGGAGGCGGAGCCTGCGGAAAAGTCAGGGTCCCTCCTATGAGGGCTGCCTGGCAGTAAATAGGTGTCCAGCCCTAGCCCCCCCTTAGCTCTGACTGCCCATGACACCATCTCAGACTAAGAAGCACCAGCTTCTGGGAACCCTGGCCCACCTGCCTCTTCCTGATCTTGCTGTATTGTGGATGGGTCCTCTGTTAAGCCCCAGTACAAAACATCAGTGACAAAAAGAACAAAGGCCCCTGACCTAGGAGAGGATGGGCAGTGAGCTCCCAGCCCATTCCAGAACATAGCTCCACCCAGCCTGGGCAAAGCCACCTCCAGTAACATCATTCCTGTCAGCTGCCCCTCAGCTGCCCAGGGCTCATGTCCAGGAGAAGAGACAGATCACCGTCAAATACCAGCCAAGGTGACAAGGGGCTGAGGCTGACCATTAGACAAGCAGAGGAGGGGGGAGCTATGGGAGGTCCACTGAAGCTAAGGAGCTAATCACTGGGGTTGGGGGGAGGTCCTAGAGGATACTCTCCCAAGGTCACACTGCCTCCTCTAGGCCCCAGGCCCCTGGCTGTGGCACATGGCTTGCTGGCTCCATTGTGGCTTCTAATGGGCCCATCCCAGCAGCTCAAGGGCTAGTAGAGAGGCAGGAATTGGCTGGGACAAGGAACCAGAGGCCATGAAGTAGAGAGGATCTCAGACAGACCAGGGAAATTGAGGGGTATAGTGCAGCTGTGGTTCCAGGCAGGGGTCACGGGGTTGGGTGACCACTGGTCCCTGTAGAAAGTGGACAGGCAAATGGGCAGGCTGGGGGGGGAGGTCATCAATGATATTTGGGGCTGGGGAGAAGAGAGCAGAGTCCTTGTTGGGACTCCACTGAGCAGCAGGGGCCCAGGGCTGGCTGCCATTTGCCACACACAGACCTGCAGGCCCAGCTCCCACCCCAAGGCCTGAGGCCCCTCAGTCACTCTGGTTCCAGGGTCACCTGGATCCCCCCATCTTTCCAAGTAGTGGGTGCCCATGGACCAGTCCTGCAGCTGCCTGGCCACCAAAGGGTCAAGCAGACGACCCTCAGCTCCTCACAAAACAACAGGCGTTCAGAAGGCTCCAAACTTTACACCGTGAACCAAAAGAAGCCCTGAGATACTCCTTCAACCATGAGACTGATGGTCTCCCATGACCACTGCTGCACCCCTCCTAGGCATGGCTCACCATAAAGGGTGGTCCCTGCTCCTGGTGCCAACATCCTTTCCAAACGCTCCCCATAGACAACTTTAGGTCCTTTGATACGCCAATCAGCTGCCAGGCTGGGGCAGGGGGTGGCAGTTCTCCCTCAGCAGATGTCTCACCTGACCCAGGCAGGGCCCAGTGTCAGGAACTAATAAATGGGGTGGGCTGGAGGGCTGGCATGCCCACAGATGCACTCAACCCAGGGTTTGAGGCAGCTTGCCCCTGGTGGGAGCCAGACTCCAAGTCATTCCAGAGTCTTCTGGAGGCACCTGCCAAGAGTGAATACCAGTGTCCTCATCCGGGCGCTGACCCCAAGCAAAGGTCTGCTCACAGCTCTCTGGGAGCCATGGCCTAGCAGGCAGTGCCTCACAGTTGAGCCAGGAAGCTGGAGCCTGAGCTCTGGCTGTCTAGTGTCTGCCTGGACACTGAGCTGTGGGACCAGGACTGGCTTGGAAGAGGCCTCACTGGACGTCAGGACCCAATCCAAACCCCAGCTTCATGGCCAAGCCAAGGCCCTGGATGACCGCTGTTCAGGGCCTGGTCCCACAGACGCACATAGAGGTCAAGGTCTGAGCTGGATGCGAGAGTGGACAATCGCCCGCTTGTCCAGCCTGCAGGTTCCGCTTTCCAAGGCCGGCCAGCGGATCGGTCTTATCACTGTGATTGCCACAGGAACAATAGCCACACAGTCTTATCTCCCGGAGTCGTAGCTGTTTGCTCTGCACACTCACGCACTCCCGAGGCAAGGGACAAAAACGCCATTCAGCAGTGATTCCCGCAAAACCTGAATTGGCAGAGGGGGTCCTCTGGGCCCCCGTTTCCCAGGATGGAGCCATTTGCCAGGGCACTGGCACTTCTGCTGGCCAGAGCCACCTACTCACAGTCCCACACAGCCCAGAGGTGACAGAGAAGAGACCCTTGACACAGCTTCAACGGGAAACACAAACAAGCCTCACAACACGTGCGCAGACACAGACACGCATGCACACACACACACACACACACACACACACACACACAGGGACACACATACAAATACACACACAGGGACACATGCATGTCTACAGTGACATGACAGGAACATGCATACATGGAGACATACGTGCACAGGCACACACATGCACACATGAAGATACACCTGCACACGTGTGCATAGGCACACATGAGCACAGAAACGTGGGCAGACACATATACAGGCACACAGAGACATATGCACAGAGATGCACACAGAGACACACACACGTGCACAGATATGCATGCACTCACAGGCATATATGCACATGCACACACACAGGCATGTGCAGAGACAGACAGGTATATACTTGCACAGAGACACACTGCACAGACAGCCACACACCCAGAAATGAACACAAACATGTGCACATATAAGCATGCACAAGCACACATGTGCACATGAACACATAAACATGAATGTACACACAAATACATGCAAAAAACACATACCTCTTCCACTCTGGCTGCCCCGTGCAGGGACCTCACCCGGGGTCCAGCCCTCATTATCTGCCACGCTCAGTTGAGATGACACATCCAGAGTGGTTCCAGCTATGTGGTGTGGTGAGTCTGGGCTAAGTCTCGGCCCCTCGGTTGCTCACCTGAGAAGGTGCAGTTGAGTATGTTAAACAATGGAAAATGGGACATCCAGAAAGAAGCACAAAGAGCATCAGGGTGACCACCCCACCCACCAAGCCTGGACACTCAGCCCTCAGAGATACCCCAGAGACGAGCAGCCCCACCAACAAGCTGCTCAGAGCTCAGGAGGCAGGAAATAGTAGGGAGGCCACCCTTCCAGCAAAGTGCCGTATGTCCCCTTCTGCTCCATCCCTTCCAGGAGACCAGGTGAGCAGGGCCTCCAGAAAACAGACGTCCATCCCAGGGCCTCAAAGACATGAGGACCTCTCCAGGCAGCTCTTCAGACCTCTGGATCAGCCCCAGACCTGCTGCCATCAGTGCCTGGGACCCCAGCACACACCTGTCCACTGGGTGTCTCCCCAGGTGGTCTTCCTCCTGGGCAGAAAACTCAAGGTGAAGGGAGTGGGCCCAGCACATGGTGGATGCCTTTTGGGGGTCCTGGGATCCAGGGGAGTGGATCCAGCACCCAGGAACTGTCCAGCACCCTGGGCTACCCAGCAGGTGCAGAAGGGAGGCCAGGCCTTCCTCATACCCCCCCTCCATCAAGCCCCATCCTGGCCACCCAGGCATGTGGCTCATAGTGCCCATGATGACCTAGCAGGGGAGAGCCAGAGAGCATTCCCAAGAACAGCCAGACACCGGAGGTGTTGGTGGGTCCCTGAAGTACATGTGTCAGCCCCCCACTGGGAGTGGGTGATAATGGGGCCACAGCCGCTGCAGAATTTTCCAAAGTCTAAATCCTGATAAAGCAGAGCCCAAGATCCTGTTTGGCCACCGCTAATGCCTGGCCAGCGATGGCGATTACAGGGCTGGAGCGTGGGGCACAGGTGGGTGCGGCAGGGGCAGGGCCCGCCAAACCTATATAAGGTGCTCGGAGCTGGCCGCTTGAGTCTCAAAGGCGGCAGCAGCAAGACTGCCTGGGCAGCAGGGGGTCGGGGCTGGCAGCCACCTTTCTTCTCCAGGCGCGGCACCATGCTCAGGCCTCAGCTGCTGCTGCTGCTGTTCTGTGGAAGAACCATACTCAGCACTGGTAAGTGGGTGTCCACCAGGCCACACTAAGGGGGACTGGACACCCAGAGCCCTCAGCAGGGCCCCGTGCGTGGGAAATTCCCCAGGTCTCGCCTCACTGACTTGGCCCAAGGCAATCTGGCCACACAGAGATCCATTGATGAATGGGAGGTGGGAGGAACGAGGCCCGGAGGTGCTTTGCTATCCCTCACTCCCCTGGCTCACATCACTGCTCACTCAGTCCCACCCACTTCCCAGTGAGCCGAGCACAATGGTCAGAGAGGCAGTGCATCCGTCTGGGTCCCTCAGGCAGTCTCTTCAGCTAGAGTGGGCCACCAGAAGCATGAGGTCAGAGGGCAGATTGGTGACACCTGGGCTGCAGGGGGCCAGCCAGGTTAACCAGGGACAGGCAGCCAGTGCCCCACCTACCTGGTGGCCTAGTCCAGTATTAAGAAAGTCAGGCCGTGGCAGATGAACGGGCCTGGAGTTCCTGTGGGCTGCAGCCAAAGGGTCTGCAATAGGAAGAAATGACAGTCAACAGGGGCCATCATAGGAGTCAGGCCTTGTCCTGCGGTCACCATGATCAATGTCATTTGGGCATCTCTCTGCCAACAGTCACCACAGTCCCAGGACACACCACGGCTGTCTTGGAGGCTGCCAGAGAAGAGAGAGATGGGAGCCTCTGGGAGAGCCCAGATCTGTTGGCTCGGTCCTTCGCCCTCTCCTGCCCCCTCCTAGCATGCCCTGCTACTACTCCCTTCTGGCCTCACCAGGAGGCCTCACCAGGTGCTCCACACACCTGGCCTCCGTGCTGAGCACAGCTGCCTAGTCACCTCCACATCAATGTGTCCTGCACTTGGGTCCTCTCGATCTGCTGGGCCCCAGGGGCCGGGCTTGTCTGGGCAGTGAGTAGTGAGTCTTGCCTAGGAGACAGGCAAGCAGGTTTCCCTGGCCAGAAGATGCCACAGGGAGTCAGTGTCTCAGGACCCACCTGGTCCTGAGTCTCGGCACTTGTCTCCCAGGAATGCCCCACTGGCTCCACGCCTCTCCCTGCAGGCCTCCTCAGGGCAACATGTGCCCTGAGCAAGCCCTGGCTAGAGAGCCCCCTAGGCCCTGTTTGAATATCATGTCTTTAGAGAGGTCACCTACCCTGCAGGTGTAGCCTCTCCCACATGGGCAATACCAGCTCACTGCCGTTCCTTGGTGAGCTCACCACAGCCCATGGCTCTTGATGTGTGTGTGCGTGTGTGTGTGTGTGTGTGTGTGTGCTTCACCCTCCTGGGATGAGCCATGGGAGCAGGCCATGCACTGCACACCGGCAATGCCCGGTCTCCTGACAGGCACAAAACAGGAGCTCCATGCAATCAGGCTGAACTGATGACTGCATGAATGAATGAGTGAGTGAGTGAATGAATGAATATGAATGAACGAACAAATGAGGAAGCGATGAGAACAAGGAAAGAGGTCAGGACTCCTGAAGGATGAAACACCAAGCCAAGGCTCAGGCTGACGACCCCACCCTTTGCCCTCATGGCTGGCAGACTCATTGGTTGCATGCTGGATGGTGTTCTAGTCCATGGAAGAACAGTTGTTCTAAGGACTGGGCAGAGGGGGACCTGTACACTTGGGCAGCCTTGGGCAGGAGTGGACAAAGCCATCAGGGATGACAATGAGGGAAGGAAGGGATCCCAGCACTCACCACCGGTCCTGTCCACGCAGGTCTGGGCACCACCTCCTTTGCCAACCCAGGCACCTGGGAACTGAAGGCCTCTCCACAAATAGGTGAGGGCCACCGGAAGCCACTGTCCTGCTGTTCAGAGCACTCGGGCCCAGTGGGAAGGAGGGAGGGATCCAGAGTGCCATACCACACTGTGACACACGCTTACACACACATACATGTGCAATACTGGCTACCCTCGGTACTGCGGTCTGGAGTTCTCATGAAGGAGCCAGCAACAGGATGGCCACAACCCAGCCTCCAGTCAAGGGCCCTCACCCAAGGGGTACCAGCTGAGGGATGAGTGTTCAGGGGCAGCAACCTCTCCGCTGGTCCTGATATGCCTAGAGTGGCCGCAGGAGCCCTGCTGGAAGGGACTCTGAGCTTTGGCTTCCTGTCTTACAGATACCACGGATGGAGGTACCACAAACCCCAACACTGAGAGCAGCCTGCCATCGTGTAAGGCCCAGACAGGAGGCAGACCCCAGTCCAGAGCTGGGTGGGCGTGGGAGTCAGGGTCTGCAGAGGGAGAGGTTTCCTTCCCACTCAGGAAACCATTTCCCTCTCAGTATGGGCTCCCCAGGTCCCAGCTCATGGACCAGGCTGTCCCAGACCTGTTTGCCCTGCCCCAACAATAGGGACATGGGTTTGAGACTATGCCACTCTCTCTGCAGCTCTAGACAAGGGCTGGTGCTCCACATGGGGAGCCGGCCACTTCTTCACCTTTGACGACCATGCATACGACTTCTTGGGGACATGCAACTATGTCTTCGCGGCCACTTGTGAGGATGCCTCGCCCACCTTCAGTGTCCAGCTGCGGCGAGGGCCTGATGGGAGCATCTCCCGAATCATCGTGGAACTGGGGGCCTCTGTTGTCACCGTGAATAAGGCAACCATCTCCATCAGGGACATCGGGTAGGCTATAGTGCCAGTCTGGGCAATGGAGGGGTGCTGAGACCAAGAGGGCAGCTGCTGACTGCTCTTGCCTACAGGGTGGTCAGCCTACCCTACACCAGCAATGGACTCCAGATCACGCCCTACGGCCAGAGTGTGCAGCTGGTGGCCAAGCAGCTGGAGCTGGAGCTGGTGGTCATGTGGGGCCCGGACACCCATCTCATGGTGAGGGCAGTGGCCACATGGCCAGCAGAGCAGGCCTCAGGAGGGGCTGCCTTTCTCAGGCAGGTCCCAACCTGCCCCACCTTACCTGGCAATGCAGCCAGTCCCCACTGCAAAGCAGTGCTGGCTCCTGGCCAGCAACTCGTGAAAACTTGGGTTTGGTTGGTAGCTCCGTCTCCCCATTTGAAAAAGAGGATCCAGCAAGGAAAGAACTCCCGGGAGAAGCAGAGTGGGGGACGGTGGAGGCCCCAGGAGCAGGAATCAGTGGCCCCTCCCATACCCCATGGGGCCCAGCAGTGTCCGTCCCACAGGTCCTAGTGGAGAGGAAGTACATGGGCCGGATGTGCGGGCTGTGCGGGAACTTTGATGGGAAGACAGCCAACGAGTTTCTGAGCGAGGACGGTAGGCAGTAGGCAGGGCAGGGGAGGAGTTGTGGGGGGCCCAGGTCCCTCTATGGCCCCATGTGTTGACCTATGTCCCATATCTCCAGGCAAACTCCTGGAACCCCATAAGTACGCCACGCTGCAGAAGCTGGATGACCCCAACGAGATCTGCTCCCACGAGACCGTCCCCAGCACCCCCATACTGCAGGCCACACACGTATGTGAGGTGGCCAGGTTCCCAGACCTGAGTCAAACTGACCTATGGAGTCCAGTGGGGTCCCAGGGGCCCATGATGCCCCAACCCATCTTCCAAGCCCCGGGTGAGGTGTGGGAATGTAGCCACACCCATGTGACCTTGAGTGGCTCTCTACCCAGGCTGAGATCTGCGCTCAGCTGCTCACCCTGGTGTCCTCCGAGTGTGACGTACCTAAGGAGTCACTGGTGCTGAGCTGCCAGGAGGACATGTCCTCGTGCACCCAGCCCGGCCAACAGAACTGCAGCTGTCCCACGCTGTCCGAGTACTCACGCCGGTGCCGCATGGCAGGCCAGCCTGTCAACAACTGGCGGAGCCCCAGCCTCTGCTGTAAGTCTCAGGCAGGGTGGAGAGCGGGCTGCTTCTGGTTGTAGGAGGGGCTGGGCCAAGCCCCAGCCCAGGTTGGGTGGTGGGGTGGAATCCTCTCACCAGACCCGATGCCCACAGCTGTGGGCCAGTGCCCAGCCAACCAGGTGTACAAGGAGTGTGACATGGCCTGCATCAGGACCTGCTCCAACCCACAGCACAGCTGCTCCAGTGCTTGCACCTTCGGCTGCTTCTGCCCGGATGGTGAGGACACATGGCAGCACCTATTTTCCCTGGGGCCCCTGGAATGAGCCTAGAGACTCGGGATGCCAGGCCCCATCCCCCAGCAGAGCCCAGACATTTTTTCATCTAACTCCCAGGCCCCTTCTGCTCACCCCAAATCCCTAGTGGACCCAGTACCTGATGAGCTCACTTATAAACCCATAGATGAGAAGTGGTTCCTGCTGGGGGTGGGGGGTGTCTGAGAGCTGCTAGGTGCAGGTAGGCTTTGAACTGGACCTGAGGGTCAGTAATGTGTTCCTGAGACCTCTCACTGGGGTACACACTTTGCTGAGGGGGTGGTAATATACCCAAGGGTGCTGCATCAGCTGCAAATGGTTTGGCTCGAGTGCAAACGGGGCTGGGGCTTCACCAGGGCATCTCCCTGGGCCTGAAGGGGCAGAGCCTGGGCCTGCCTGAGCAGCCAGCACAGAACAGCCAGGGAGGAGATTGCCTAGAGGTTGTCAGTGTCACCCAAACCCAAGAAGCCCCTCCCCTGCAGGTATGGTGCTTGACGATCTCTCCTCAAACCACACCTGCGTGCCCATCAGCCAATGTCCCTGCATGCACAATGGAATGATCTACGGTCCTGGGGAGGTCACCAGGGCCACCTGTCAAACCTGGTGAGTTCGGGGGACGAGGGGACTGTGGCAAGTGAGGGGAGCTTTGCTGGCCTGGAACTGTGGGGAAGTGCCTTTGGCCCCAGCCTCCACTGTGGGTCACCCCAGTGTCCACCAACAGCCAGTGCTCCATGGGCCGGTGGACATGCACAGAACAGCTGTGTCCCGGCCACTGCTCCCTGGAAGGCGGCTCCTTTGTTACTACATTTGACGCCAGGCCCTACCGCTTCCATGGGTCCTGCACCTACGTCCTCCTCCAGGTAGGATGCACTCTGGGTCTGGAGGGGAAGAGGCAGTTGTCCCATGCCTGAGCCCCCTTACCTTCTCAGAGCTCCCAGCTTCCCGACGAGGGCACCCTCATGGCCGTATATGACAAGTCAGGCTACTCACACTCTGAGACCTCCCTGGTCGCCATCATCTACCTGTCCAGTAAGGTAAGGCTGCCCATCTTGCCGTAAGCAAACACTATGGCTACCCACCATGGGCCTGGTGTCCCTCTCTGTTTTCTCCTGCCTCAGCTGCTCCTCCCCTGACTCAAGCCACCTTCCCTCCAGGACAAAATCGTGATCTCTGAGGACGAGATGATCACCAACCATGGAGACACCAAGTGGCTGCCTTATAAGACTCGTAGGTCCTCCCAAGGGCAGGAGCCCTGAGCCTTGCAGAGCTGTGCCCTCGGGTGGGGTGGGGTCGACTGCCTCTCAGAACCCATATTCTTGTAGGCAACATCACCATCTTCAGGCAGACGTCCACCCACCTCCAGATGGTCACCACCTTTGGGCTAGATCTCATGATCCAGCTACAGCCCGTCTTCCAGGTGTACATCACTGTCGAGCCCCAATTCAGAGGCCAGACTAAAGGTGATCCCTGTCCCACTGGTCACTCCCGGGGTTAATTGGCTGCCTCTGCTGCCATGGCCAAGTAGGCAAGGGCCCAAGCTCAGCTCATATTGGCCCGCTCTGGCCAGGGACCCAGGAGAGTGGATATGCGAGGTCAGTGACGCCTCTCACCAGGGCACAGCTGGGGAGAAGAGAGGAGCTTTGGGTATGTGGGGATACAGGAAGGGGCAGGTGAGACGTCAGCTTCATGGCCCGGCCCACACAGGACTCTGCGGCAATTTCAATGGGGACACAACCGATGACTTCACGACCAGTGGGGGCATCGATGAGGGCACCGCCTCGCTCTTTGTGGACTCCTGGCGGGCAGGGAACTGTCCAGCCGCCCTGGAGCGTGAGACCGACCCCTGCTCCATGAGCCAGCTCAACAGTGAGTCCCCTCTTGGCCCCTGGCCACCCAGGTCTGCAGAGTGGGGAGTGGACAGGAGACTCATGACCGATCCTATTGCTCCCAGAGGTGTGTGCAGAGACCCACTGCTCAGCGCTGCTGAAGAAGGATAGCGTGTTTGAGAAGTGCCATTCAGTGGTGAACCCCAAGCCCTTCTATAAGGTGAGACCTGTGGGCATTTGGTAGGGCAGCAGGGGTGCCACAGGAAGCTGGGATCCCACCCAGGGCAGGAGTTCTGAGGATGTCCCAGAGTGGGCAGGTGCCCACGGCCTGCTCTTCCCGCAGAGGTGTGTGTACCAGGCCTGCAACTATGAGGAGACCTTCCCTCATATCTGTGCCACCCTGGGTGCCTATGCCCACACCTGCGCCTCCTGGGGTGTCCTGCTCTGGGGCTGGAGAAGCACCGTGGACAACTGCAGTGAGTGCCAGCCACAATACAGGGGACCAGACGAGGCAGGGGTCATGGAAAACAGGAGTCGGGGACTGGGGCCACAGGGGTTCCCTTGGTGAATCAGAGGGCCCCAGAACCCTAATCTCTACCCAATGGGTGGCATGCTCCCAAATCCCTTTCCCAAAATCTGACCCCCAGTTCCCCACAGCCATCCCCTGCACTGGGAACCGCACCTTCAGCTACGACAGCCAGGCCTGCAATCGCACCTGCCTGTCACTGTCTGACAGCACTGCCGAGTGCCACACCAGCCCAGTCCCTGTGGATGGCTGCAACTGCCCCGAGGGCACCTACCTGAACCACAAGGCCGAGTGTGTGCGCAAGGCACAATGCCCCTGCCTGCTGGACAACAACAAGTTCGTCCTAGCTGACCAGTCCACCATGGTCAATGGGGTCATCTGGTGAGGTTCAACAGGGCTAGGAGGGCCAGGTGGGGGAGAAGCCCTGTCCACAAGTAGCTCACGCACTTCTCTCCTCACAGCTACTGCATCAACGGGCGGCTGAGCTGCCCACGGCAGCGGGAGATATTCTTGGGTGCGTACACTGCCCGAGGCCGGCCGGTGGGACCCTGCAGTACCCTCGGCCTCCCCCAGGCCTGACCTCACCCTCCCCTTCCCTGCAGAAGAATCCTGCCCAGCCCCCAAGACCTTCCAGTCCTGCAGCCAGTCATCGGAGGACAAATTTGGGGCAGCGTGTGCCCCAACATGCCAGATGCTGGCCACTGGCAGTGCCTGTGTAAGGGGCAGTGAGGACTAGCTTGCTGGGCCACCAGAGGGATTCCACAAACCCACAGAGCCAGCACTGTGTGGGGCCATGCTCTGACCCTTTGCCCCTCAGTCTCTGTTCTAGTGGCTGATGCTGGGTAGGGCGGGAGTGGGGGGGCAGGAAGGTCAGGTCAGGAGTGGTTCCTTGGCTGGGCAGCTGGAGAACAGGGGTGCTTGTCTGTGGGGTTCTGTGAGGAGAGGGACTGGCCCCCCAGCTTGGGAAGTGTAGCCACCCATGCCTGTGGGCCCAGGAGCCCAGCCTGATACACCAGGCATGGATACTACCATAAGGGAGGGGTGGCTTTGCTAAGAGAAAAGTCCAGCTGCCAGAGATCCCAGAGCAGGGCTGAACACAGGGATAGGGTCTGGTCTTTTTTTTTTTTTTTTTTTTTGTGGTACTGGGGATTGAACTCAGGGCCTCATGCATGCAAGGCAAACACTAAACCACTAAGCTATATCCCCAGCCCAGGGATAGGGTCTGGGAGGATTGCTGGGAGTCTCAGGGCCTAGGGGTGGAGCAGCAACTGGCTAAGACTGCCCACCACATGCCGATAACCCCACCTTCCCTCAGGTGCCCACCAAGTGTGAATCTGGCTGCGTCTGTGCTGACGGGCTCTATGAGAACACCGACGGGCAGTGTGTGCCCCCGGAGGAGTGCCCATGTGACTTTGCAGGGGTCTCCTACCCTGGGGGTGCAGAGCTCCACACCGACTGTAAAACCTGGTAGGCCGCACCTTGCCCCGGGTGCCCATGGGGCCATCTGAGCAGGCAGGAGCACATGGAGGTGGGGTGCCCAGAGGTGGGGTGCGCTAAAGCACCCTCCATCCCTGGAGGTGGGATGTCCACTGGTGGAGTGCCCTGGACGTGCAGCCTAGGTCTCTGGGAACCCTATGAACCTCCATGTAGAAGAAGGGCTTCCCCCACCATCCCACCCCCACCCTCTCCCCAGTACCTGCTCCCAGGGGAGGTGGACCTGCCAGGAGAATGCCTACTGCCCGTCCACCTGTGTCCTCTACGGGGAGGGCCACATAATCACTTTCGATGGGCAGCGCTTTGTGTTCGAGGGCAACTGCGAGTACATCCTGGCCACGGTAAGTGCCAGCCAGGATTACAGCTACAGAGAGCCAGGGTGGGGCCTCAAGGGCCCCTCCTCAGCAGCCCCTCCCTGCAGGATGGCTGCGGTGCCAACAGCTCTGAGCCCACCTTCAAGATTCTGACAGAGAACGTCATCTGTGGGAAGTCAGGGGTCACCTGCTCCCGAGCCATCAGTATCTTCATAGGCGTGAGTGGCTGGGCCCCACAGGGTAGGAGGGGTAAGGGTCTGCTGTCACTTGGCTGGACCCTCAACTTCCAGGTTCCCCTAGATCCCCCTTCACTGAGCAGCCCTCCCCATCTGTACCACAGCTCAGAGCAGGAGACTGCTCACCAACCAGGCATCTGCACACTCATCCTGGTGGCTGCATGGCCTCCACCAGGCTCCCAGGCTCATGGGTAGAGGGGAGAGAGCTCTGCAGGAGGCTGAGCCTGTTTCCACATGTTCTGAAGCCCTCTGCCCAGAGTTAGCTCCCCACAGGTGCTCTCTACATTCGTGTCTTGATAGACATGGTCAGCCCTGTCTTAGGGAACTCAGCCCAGAGACAGAACCCAACCACAGGATACTGGGGGAGTTGACCAGGCAGCCTATGACCACCTCCACTCCACAGGGCCTGTCCATCACGATGGCAGACAGGAACTACACGGTCAGCGGGGAGGACCCTTCCGTGCACTTCCAGGTGAAGTCCAACAGCCTGAACCTCATCCTGGACGTGGGCATCCCGGGGTGGCTCAACCTGACACTGATCTGGAACAAGCATATGAGTGTCACCATCAAGATCAGCCGCACCTCCAAGGTACCCACCACACGCTTGCCAGTGCACCCTAGCCAGCAGCCCTCTCTGCCTGCGGGTGGGCAGAGGACTTGTGAAGCCTGTCTGGCTGCCTGCAGGACACACTCTGTGGCTTGTGTGGTAACTACAACGGGAACATGAAGGACGACTTTGAGACGCGCAGTATGTATGTAGCATCCAGTGAGCTGGAGTTTGTTAACTCGTGGAAGGAGAACCCACTGTGTGGAGATGCGAGCTATGTGGTAGATCCCTGCAGCCTGAACACTTTCCGCCTCTCCTGGGCCGAGCGCAAGTGCAGTATCATCAACAGCCAGACCTTCGCTGCCTGCCACAGCAAGGTGGGTCCTCAGGGTCCCCATGCCCAGAGCCCAGGGGTACCGGGCTCTGTCTGTCACAATGGGAAGCCAGACAAAGTCCTCCCTCCAGAACGGCCAGGGGGACGGGTACAAAGAGGGCTGAGTCCCCTCACGCTGTGGGGCGTTCAACAGCACCAGGCTTCCATCCACTAGAAGCCAGTAGCAGCACCCAGACAGTGCAGAGTACTCCGGTGGAAGCATTGCCCAGGCAGAACCCCTGCTCTGGGGTGTGTGATCAGGAAAGGGGACACTCTGGGGTAGGAGATGGCCCTGCCCAGCAATGAGTTTCCTGGACTCAGGAACTCCTAGGACAGTCCATGATTCTTGGAACTCAGTAAGACTGAATGGTCTTCAGCATAGTGCAGCAGGGACCAGCTTGGTGCATTCAGAGGCTCTGAGTGTACAAGCGCAGGTGTGTGGGGGAAGGGGGTTTGAGGAAGGAGCAGGCCAGAGGAGCTACAGCACTGGTTACCCACACTCTGGTGTCTGAGAGACTAAACATGGATCAGATCGTCCAAGGAAGACTTGGCTGAACACCAACAGCACTAACTGGCAGCAGCTGAGGGCTGCAGTTCCTATGAGACTGGACCTGGGCTCCAGTGAGCAGGGCTGAGCCTCAATACCCAGGCCCTGCATGCAACAAAGCCTGCACTCGGCTATACATCTGTCACAGCAGCTGGATGCTGACCTGTGTGCCGCCCTGCAGGTGTACCACTTGCCCTACTATGAGGCCTGTGTGCATGACACGTGCGGATGTGACACGGGCGGTGACTGCGAGTGTCTGTGCGATGCGGTGGCCGCCTATGCCCAGGCCTGCCTGGACAAGGGCGTGTGTGTGGACTGGAGGGCCCCAGACTTCTGCCGTGAGTGTTCCACCCCTTCACCTGCCCCACCCAGGGACTCACCATAGAAGCCCTCTCCCAGGCAGGTGCTAGGTTATGCCCCTGCAGGGCTGCTCTGGGCCTGCAGCCATGCTCTGCCAGGATCCCTCAAGAGGAGACCCCCCCCTCCCAATAGAACCTGAGCCTCCCATGCCTGGCTCTGGCCTCACTATTGCCTGACGGGTGCCTTCTTCCCAGCGGTCTACTGTGACTTCTACAACAGCCACACACAGGTCGGTGACAGTGAGTACCAGTACACACAGAAGATCAATTGCACATGGCACTACCAGCCCTGTCTCTGCCCCGGCAGCCTGGAGAGCTTCCAGGACACCAACGTCGAAGGTAACAGGGACACACACACCATGCCACATGCTAAAACATGTGTATTAATGCTGCTCGTGCATCCACACCTTCATTCACAAATTCACTCGTTCACTCAAACATCAGCATGCATCCACTCACACACGTTAGTTCACCTACACATTCATTCCCTTGCACACACATTTACTCAGCAGTGGCCCAGTTCTGAGATGGGACATGGCCTCACACAAAAATAGCCCTGACCTGCAGGAGGGGCTTTCCCTTCTGGCCAGGGAGAGATGCTCGAAAATCAAAATAAGGAAGCAAAAAACTGTCAGATGATACACATGCCACACTGAAAAACAGGTGCCACAAGACCACTGTGGCCAGGTGGACTATGCAGAACATGAGTCAGGTCAGAGAGGGCCAAGTCAGTGTGGGGAACATTGGCAAAGCACAGGAAGATAAGATAGGACCAGGATCTGGGGCAGGGGTGGAAGGGAGACAAATAGAGAGACAGAGATTTCCATGTCAAAAGGGCAGTTGGGGCCATGGCAAGCTGAGGGCCAGAACAAGGAACGCTAGCCACACAGGGTGGAGGCCCTGGAGCCCAACGAGTAGTTTTAGAGGCTGGAGGGAGGCTGGAGGAAGGAAGTGGATTGCAAGTGGGCATGACTGGGGGCAGGTGAACCCAGCCGGTGGAGGGGTGGCCAGGTGTGAGGACACTGAGCCTGGCCTTTCTCTGCCCCAGGCTGCTACAACTGCTCCCAGGACAAGTACTTCGACCACAACCAGGGTTCCTGTGTGCCTTGCAGTAAGTCCAGGCAGCCTGCCAAGACCACCAGCAGCACAGTCCTGGGCAGCTTGGACTGGACACCTGTGCTGGTAGAACATGTGCCTCTGCACTCTGAGCTCCAGCACCCCTGCCAGGGACCTGGCCCCCTGGGGTGCAGCAATTACCCACAGACTCAGGCAGCATCCAGGAAACAACAAAGACACAGGCAACACAGCACCAGACTCCATTTGCTTCCCTCCCCTTCCCCTGCCCACTCATTCAACCCTAACCTCAGGGCAGAGCTCTGGTCCTTCCAGGGCTTTGTGGCGTCCAGTGCAATCTTTCTGAGAATCCAGCTCCAGGCATCCTGGAGAGACACCACCCTGTCACAGCAGCCTGTCTGCTCCCCTCCAGCCCCTGCCAGGCTAATAGCAAAGGGCGGGGGGAGGGGGGTGGAGAACAAGACGGGACAGGGCACAGAACAGACCAGCCCTCTGGGGTGGGCTCCAAGCCCATTTAGCGACTTAGCCCTGGGTGGGGAGATGGTGGGGAAGCTGCATAAGCAGTGGCCACTGATGGTCCCTTCCTCTAGCAGTGCTATATGCAGACACTCAGAGTCATGGGATCACAGGCTTTCTTCCTGGGGCCTTATCCTAGCTCCAGTGGATAGCCCCTCCCCACTAGCCCTACCTCAGTGTCTGTTGGTCCCTGGGAGCAGGGCAGGGAACACACCTTGCAGTCCCTATCAGAGGGGAAGGAGTGTACAAAGCTTAGTTCTTGCTTGACCATTGACTCTGCCCATTCGGTTCTCAGTGGACCTGTCACTGAGCATGAAGCCGGGTCTCCAATAGGTGAGTCCCCCAGAAGGCACCAGCAGGAGCCCACGCTGCTCTCAAAGGACCATGGGCCACCCCTACCCCTCTCACCCAGCCCCTCCAGCCCCGGGGCTGCAAATCTTCACTCAGCAGGCAGGCAGGCCTCTTCCCAATGGGGCATCAGGGCCAGCCCCTGCCTATCCATGAGGGTACGTCTGCTCCCAACACAGGCTCAGGTCCCACAGAAGTTCCATCCACCTCGGCGACCCCCAGCACTACGCAATTCCACAGCTCCAGCTCCTCAGCCACACCTGGGCTGACAGGACATCCAACCACACCCTTGACCGAGCCCTCCACCCCTTCCTCCATGGAGGGAGGGACAACTTGGACCACCCTCAGCAAACCCACAGTCTCCTCAGAAGGTAACACAGAGGGGACACAAGAGACCCTCTGGGCATGGGGCAAAGGGCATCTACTGCCTTCCACTGAGACACCCATTGGGGCAGATTCTCTCAAGCTGGTCACAAGATACAGCCATTCTGTGCCATCTGATATTACTACCAGAACAGGCAGGGTATGTTGGGTCTCCCCATCGCAGCCCTCCCTACCCCTACACACAGCAGTACCTCCATCTGCTGCCTGGGGACTGAAGTACACAGGACACAGCTGATCACGTGAGGGTAGAGGGGTGTCTGTCTGCCCACATGAGCCTGTACTCATATCTCTTGCCATGAGGCCACCCTAGTCAGGTAGACCCTGTAGGACATAAGAATCAGGGATGGAAAGCAAGAGCTGCTGCTCCTCTAAGGAGCAGCCAAGACCTTACAGGAGAAACCAAAGTAAAGGACAGAAGCAGAGCCTTAGACACCAGCCTGGGAAATGCACATGGGATCAAGGGAGATATTCCCTGGCTGTCCTCCGCAGAATCACCTCGAACCACCATGGCAGTCACCCCACTGCAAACATCACCTGTGATACCTACAGCCACACCAAAATCAACAGTCACAGGACTCACAGTGACCCAGGCCACAACTGAGCCCACAGTATCCTCACTTAGCCAAGCTACAAAGTCCACAGCTCAGTCAACATCACGAACCACAACTGCACCACTACACCACTCAGCAACACCTGGGACGTCCCCCAGCCAAGGTAAGTCATAGCCCATGGGTTCCCAGGTGCACAACAGGTGAGCCTGAAGGAGGGTCTGTGTTTCCCAGAATGCAACTTGTAGGAGAGAGTGCAGGCAAGCAGCAGGAGGGTCAGTGACAGCTGCACACCACCCACTGACTCAAGTCCTGGGACATACAGTCCACGGGAAAAGTCACAGTTGTTAGGATGGCAAATCCACAAGAGGAGAGGGTGGAGCCCAGATGCTCAAAAACTGCAGTGAAAGAGGCTCCAAGGAAATCAGGTGGCAGGGAAAGCAAGAGAAAACGGAAAGAACAGAGACTCGGGAAACTGGGGACCCTGAAGGGGCATCCCATATGGTTGGAAAAGAAAATCCTCCTGACCAGGGACACCCAGGGAATATCTCCTGTGATCTCATGTGCATTTCCCTAGCTAAGGAACACAGCACAACATATGTATACCACTGGGGATGGAACTAGAGAACACTAACGGCTGCCATGATCCACAGGAACATCCGTGACTGCAGAAAGGCCAGTTACAACAAATCCAGTGACAGAGCACACAGAACCACCTTCATTGGACAAGACCACCCTGACCACGCAGAAGCCAGAAAACAGCAGTGGCACCACTACAACAACCAGTGTGGGGACCCAACACACTGCATCACCCAGCAGACCTCCCATCACCCCAATGACCACACACTCCCCACCCACCACTTCTGTCTCCACCATTCTACACAACACAGGTCTCTCCACAAGAATGACCCTCCAGACCAGGACTTTTCAGACATCATCTTCCTCTGAAACATCACTAACCTCTCTGATTCCAACATTCTCTACCTCCTCCGTGACAACAAGCAGCCCACATATGCACTCATCCTTCTCCACCCGAAGAACCACTACACCCATTCTGACACCCACCACAACCCAAGGAACAGGACACACATATATAACCTCCCCACTGACTTCCAGCACCGTGACCACCACCCAAGAAAACACTTCATTCAGCACAGAAAGGACCCCTACTTCCTCCATATCACACACTTCATCTGCACCAGACCATTATTCCACAACCTCTCCAACCAGTACCACCACGTCCAAGCTCACCAGTAGTGGCACTGGAACACCAGTGGCCCACACCAACTCTGCCACACCTAGCAGCTCCAATACCCCATTCACCACACACTCATCACCTTCAGTTCCTGTCTCCACCACTCCACACACCACAGGACAACCCACGGAAACTTCACGCCAGACCTCCAGCACCTTTTCTACTCCATCTGTCCCACAGACATCACTGTCCTCTGTGTTTCCAACATTCTCCACCTCCTCTGTGACACCAACTTCTCACACCATCACGCCCAGCAGTTCACACACGATTCCTTCTTCCTCTACCACAAGATCCACTGGTACCATTCCGCCAACCACACAAGGAACAGAGACCACACACTCAGTGACCACACAAACACCACTATCACAGACTTCCACCACCATGGCCTCCTCCCAAACTCACAGTTCATTCACCACAGAAAAAACCTCTATCTCCCTTGTGTCACATTCATCCTCAATGCCACACCATCAATCCTCCTCAGCTCTGAGCACCACCACCACACACCAGTCCACCAGCAGTGGAATTGTGACCCCACTGGCCCACACCAACTCCGCCACACCTAGCAGCTCCCACACCCCATTCACCACACACTCATCACCCACAATTCCTGTCTCCACCACTACACACACCACAGGACCACCCACGGAAACTTCACGCCAGACCTCCAGCTCCTATCATACTCCAACTGTCTCCCAGACTTCATTGTCCTCTGCGTTTCCAACATTCTCCACCTCCTCTGTGACACCAAGTTCTCACACCATCACGCCCAGCAGTTCACACATGGTCCCTTCAGCCTCTGTCACAAGATCCACTGCTACCATTCCGCCAACCACACAAAGAACACAGACCACACACTCAGCAACCACACAAACAGCACTACCGACCTCCACCACATTGGCCACCACCCAAACTCACGAATCATCCACCACAGAAAAAACATCTACCTCCCTCATGTCACATCCTTCCTCAACAACACACCATCAATCCACATCAGCTGTCAGCACCACCACCACGCACGAGTCCACCAGTAGTGGAACTGTGACCTCACTGGCCCACACCAACTCTGAAACACCTAGCAGCACCCACACCCCATTCACCACACACTCATCACCATCAGTTCCTGTCTCCACCACTACACACACCACAGGATCACCCACGGAAACTTCACGCCAGACCTCCAGCTCCTATCATACTCCAACTGTCTCCCAGACTTCATTGTCCTCTGTGTTTCCAACATTCTCCACCTCCTCTGTGACACCATCTTCTCACACCATCAAGCCCAGCAGTTCACACATGGTTTCTTCTTCCTCCACCAGAAGAACCACTGGTACCATTCTGCCAACCACACAAGGAACAGAGACCACACACTCAGCAACCACACAAACACCACTACCACTAACTTCCACCACCTTTACCACAACCCAAACTCATGGTTCATCCACCACAGAAAAAACATCTACCTCCTTCTTGTCACATCCTTCCTCAACGACACACCATCAATCCACGTCAGCTGTCAGTACCACCACCACGCACAAGTCCACCAGTAGTGGAACTGTGACCTCAGTGGCCCACACCAACTCTGAAACACCTAGCAGCTCCCACACCCCATTCACCACACACTCATCACCATCAGTTCCTGTCTCCACCACTACACACACCACAGGACCCCCCAAGGAAACTTCTCTGCAGACCTCCAGCACTTTTCCTACATCATCAGTCCAACAGACATCACTGTCCTCTGTATTTCCAACGTTCTCCACCTCCTCTGTGACAAAAACATCTCACACCATCACTCCCAGCAGTTCACACACAGTCCCTTCTGCCTCTGCCACAAGATCCACTGGTACCACACAGCCAACCACACAGGGAACAGAGACCACACACTCAACGACCACACAAACAGCACTACCACAGACTTCCACCACCACGGCCTCCTCCCAAACTCTCAGTTCATTCACCACAGAAAAAACCTCTACCTCCCTTGTGTCACTTTCATCCTCAATGCCACACCATCAATCCTCGTCAGCTCTGAGCACCACCACCACACACCAGTCCACCAGTAGTGGAACTGTGACCTCACTGGCCCACACCAACTCTGCCACACCTAGCAGCTCCCACACCCCATTCACAACACACTCATCACCCACAATTTCTGTCTCCACCACTCCACACACCACAGGACTCCCTACGGAATCTTCCTTCCAGACCACCAGCACCTTTCCTACTCCATCTGTCCCACAGACATCACTGTCCTCTGTATTTCCAACGTTCTCCACTTCCTTTGTAACATCAACATCTCACACCATCACTCCCAGCAGTTCACACATGGTCCCTTCAGCCTCTGTCACAAGATCCACTGCTACCATTCCGCCAACCACACAAAGAACACAGACCACACATTCAGCAACCACACACACAGCACTACCGACTTCCACCACCTTGGCCACCACCCAAACTCACGAAACATCCACCACAGAAAAAACATCTACCTCCCTCATGTCACATCCTTCCTCAACAACACACCATCAATCCACATCAGCTGTCAGCACCACCACCACGCACGAGTCCACCAGTAGTGGAACTGTGACCTCAGTGGCCCACACCAACTCTGAAACACCTACCAGCTCCCACACCCCATTCACCACACACTCATCACCATCAGTTCCTGTCTCCACCACTACACACACCACAGGATCACCCACGGAAACCTCAGGCCAGACCTCCAGCTCCTATCATACTCCAACTGTCTCCCAGACTTCATTGCCCTCTGTGTTTCCAACATTCTCCACCTCCTCTGTGACACCATCTTCTCACACCATCACGCCCAGCAGTTCACACATGGTTTCTTCTTCCTCCACCAGAAGAACCACTGGTCCCATTCTGCCAACCACACAAGGAACAGAGACCACACACTCAGCAACCACACAAACAGCACTACTGACTTTCACCACCTTGGCCACCACCCAAACTCACAGTTCATCCACCACAGAAAAAACATCTACCTCCTTCTTGTCACATCCTTCCTCAACGACACAGCATCAATCCACATCAGCTGTCAGCACCACCACCACGCACGAGTCCACCAGTAGTGGAACTGTGACCTCAGTGGCCCACACCAACTCTGAAACACCTAGCAGCTCCAACACCCCATTCACCACACACTCTTCACCCACAGTTCCTGTCTCCATCACTACACACACCACAGGACCACCCACAGAAACTTCCCTCCAGACCTCCAGCACCTTTCCTACTCCATCTGTCCCACAGACATCACTGTCTTCCTTGTTTCCAACATTCTCCACCTCCTCTGTGACAAAAACATCTCACACCATCACTCCCAGCATTTCACACATTGTCCCTTCAGCATCTGTCACAAGATCCACTGGTACCATTCCGCCAACCACACAAAGAACAGACACTACACACTCAGCAACCACACACACAGCACTACCGACTTCCACCACCTTGGCCACCACCCAAACTCACAAATCATCCACCACAGAAAAAACATCTACGTCCCTCGTGTCACATCCTTCCTCAACAACACACCATCAATCCACATCAGCTGTCAGCACCACCATCACGCACGAGTCCACCAGTAGTGGAACTGTGACCTCAGTGGCCCACACCAACTCTGAAACACCTAGTAGCTCCAACACCCCATTCACCACACACTCATCACCCACAGTTCCTGTCTCCACCACTACACACACCACAGGACCACCCACGGAAACTTCACGCCAGACCTCCAGCTCCTATCATACTCCAACTGTCTCCCAGACTTCATTGTCCTCTGTGTTTCCAACATTCTCCACCTCCTCTGTGACACCATCTTCTCACACCATCAAGCCCAGCAGTTCACACATGGTTTCTTCTTCCTCCACCAGAAGAACCACTGGTCCCATTCTGCCAACCACACAAGGAACAGAGACCACACACTCAGCAACCACACAAACACCACTACCACTAACTTCCACCACCTTTACCACAACCCAAACTCATGGTTCGTCCACCACAGAAAAAACATCTACCTCCTTCTTGTCACATCCTTCCTCAACGACACACCATCAATCCACGTCAGCTGTCAGTACCACCACCACGCACAAGTCCACCAGTAGTGGAACTGTGACCTCAGTGACTCACACCAACTCTGAAACACCTAGCAGCACCCACACCTCATTCACCACACACTCATCACCTTCAGTTCCTGTCTCCACCACTACACACACCACAGGACCACCCACGGAAACATCACGCCAGACCTCCAGCTCCTATCATACTCCAACTGTCTCCCAGATTTCATTGTCCTCTGTGTTTCCAACATTCTCCACCTCCTCTGTGACACCATCTTCTCACACCATCACGCCCAGCAGTTCACACATGGTTTCTTCTTCCTCCACCAGAAGAACCACTGGTCCCATTCTGCCAACCACACAAGGAACAGAGACCACACACTCAGCAACCACACAAACACCACTACCACTAACTTCCACCACCTTTACCACAACCCAAACTCATGGTTCATCCACCAC